CAGTTAAATCTCGATGCTGAATACTTCATGGTAATTGTTAAGATTTATTTTGTTGAATGAGGTATTATCAGTATCTTTGACATAATTTTTTTTATAGATTCTAACTTTTACAAGTGCTAACATCTGTATTATTTAAGCTTTAAAAAAGACTAGCACCTTGGCGTTTTGACAGGGAAAACGACAGGAGGAAGAAAAGGAAAACTCTGCTTTGTGAGCAATCTGAGTCTCCCCTGGAAGATACCAGGCCTCTGTCGGCGGGCCTTCCCCCTCCTGACAGGTCATATTAGACGCCTGGTTCATGAGGACAGAAGGCCACTTCTTACGCCCCAGACTCTTGAAGGATGTGATTAACCTCTAGTTTACATCATGGGCACCTGATCCACCAGAAGGACCCAGCGGTTTACTTACAGTCGTGTTAAAAAGCCAAACAAAATAAAGAACAACCCAGTCTTACTTTACAGTCCTGAGCTTCCTAAGGGGATTGTACAAAACACATGGACACTAAATAAGGTTTACTTTTTATTTTGAGCTACAAAACAGACTTTCAGCCACGAAGGAGAGGGTTATGGAGCGTGACCCTCAGACCCGAAGGCTTTCCCTGAAGAGGGAGGCAGACCCTGAGTGTGCTGCTGGCTTGAATCCACTGCCTTTCCGGGAGCCATATTTTTTATGTCAATTGGCAGGCTCTTGGCTCATCGTTAGGCATTTTATGACTGTCCTGCTGAAAATCTCACCAATCCCTAACACCACAGGGAAACTGTGGAAATGAAAGGGTGATGTGTGAATGCGGGCGCTGGTGCCCCCACATGCATTACAAGTGGATGGGGAGTGAGAAGGAAGAGGTGGGGTAAGTCAGTGGCTGTGACGACCTCTACGGCAGTTAAGAAAAGGCACACAATTCAAATGGTCTGTGTTTTCACTCAGCTAGTTATTGCACGTTCAGTGGTGCAGATTTGCAGAGGCTGAGTAACATGACCAAGTCTGCACTGACGACTTCCTTGGGTTCCCCTTTCCATCTACTTGTCCTAAGAGCCATTCAAGGATTTCTTTAGTGTAGAAGAGAAACAAGAAGGGCTAAACTACAACTTGAGCTTTATCTCAGAAATGAAAACAATGTAAGGTAAACATTTGTACCCTTGTATCAATCTGAAATTAACAACAAAAATCATCCGATGAGCCCCCCCCCACACACACACTTTGGGTACTCATAAACAGCAAAGAACTTGCAGAAATCCTACAATGAATGACAATCTTTAAAAAGCTTTAAAAAACAGTGTATTTATTACAATTGTACTTTTTTTTTGGAGACAGAATCTTACTCTGTCGTCTTGGGGTGAAGGGTCATGGCATCATCAAAGCTCACAACAAACTCAAACTGTTGGGCTCAAGTGATCCTCCTGCCTCAGCCTCCCAAGTAGCTGGGACTATAGGCACCTGCCACCAAGCCCAGCTAATTTTTTCTTTTTCTTTTTTTTTTTTT